GTTCGAGAAAACGTTCCTCTGGAAAACCTTTGAAGTTTACGTTACTTCATGTCAGTATCTGTTCCAAGCTCGTTCGAAATTTTTCAAACACACTTGGCTTTGTGAGTTTGTGCCGCTATGTTCCTTTATTTAATTAAACTACGACATTTTCATTCAGCCAGGTACAACATCAAAAAAGACGTCAAATTATAATAATTTCGTTTCTGATAAAGTAATTTACTTAGGGAAATTGTTGAAAATAATTTCCCATTCCCCCCAGAATTTAGGCGTCCAAAGGCGTCCATTTTTCGTTCTAGGGGCGTCCCAGGACGCCCTCTTCTGGCTAAAAGCCTGCTCGTAGCATAAAATGTAAAAATACAAGTACAAACTTACGCGAATAAAAACTTGAACAAGTACTTCATTACAACAACGACGGCATCCGGGAGCTTCTTAATCACGTGATTGAGCGCTCGTGCTTGTTCGTCAGAATCGAAAATTCCTAAGGATGAAAAAAAGTGCGAGTCAGTTGATACCATTGAACTATAAATAAACTGGAAGGCTAACTGCTATGATGAAGGCCTATGATTTGATGAAGCCAAAATAGTTTTTCTGAGTTATGAGCAGAAATACTTAACCCCAAACGTCGGACTATATATCAAATTGAAGCTATTGAAAATTGCTATTCGGTGTGGAAATTTCAAGACTTCAGCGAAAAGAAAAATATTTTAAAAATACAAAAACAACTGCAAAACGGCAAATTATCGGTAATTATGTTTGTAGTTTTTCAATATTTCCCTTTTAGCTAAAGTCTTGAAATTTCCACACCAAATAGCGTTTTTCAATAGCTTCAATTTGATATATTGCCCAACGTTCAGTGTTGAGTATTTCTGCTCATAACTCAGAAAAACTAAAATACACTGGCTTCAATTTCCCCCCCTGAGTTAGCCTTCCAGTTTATTTATAGTTCAATGGTTGATACCGACCGGGGTTAAATCACTCCAATATGTTGTTGTCCGACTATAATTTTGGCTCAGTTACATAGTCTATCAAAGATATGATGGTCTGAAAACTAAACAGGAGTCATTTGTGTTATGCAAGGGTGGCTTGACTACAAAATTTTTGTAGTTCGCTATAACTACAGCTACTTCAAAAATATGTAGTCAGCTACAACTACTGCTACTATATTGAACAAAGGTAGTTCGCTACTGACTACAGCTACTGCTTAAAAAATGTAGCGAACTATTTCGCTATGTCGCTACTCAATATTTTTTAATTTTACTGTATTTGGAACATCTACTATAGCTCAGGCTGTAATGTAACCTATAACAAATCGACTTACGCGAGTAAATAAGACGGCATGCACGGCATACTTTATTCGTGCAAATTGAGTATTGATTTTAAGCAAACTGTGTCTTAATAACATTCTATTCTATCAAGTTGCTAACAATTTTAAAAAGTAGCGAACAGCGATTTGCTGTTTGAAAAGTAGTCAACTACTTGGCTACTTTTAGGCAAAATGTAGTTCGCTATAACTACAGCTACTGTTTTGAAAAAGTAGTCAAAAACTACTGGCTACTTGAAAATTGTAGTTCGCTACAGTAGCGAACTACAACTACTTCGCTACTACCCACCCTTGGTGTTATGTCGGAGTTTATGTTAATTTGTGCACGGTCACGGTGATTGAGCTCATTGTATTTTCGTATAATGAAGTAATCGTCCAATAGGGATAGTTGAGTTGAAACGTGCAACCATGCACGATGAATAATATTTAATGAAGTTGAGACAAAGGATTTGTGCAAGGTGAGGCACAGTTCAACATCAAACAAAGCTCTTCTATTTTGTAGCTTTGAAGTTTGCCTGGCTTCCAGACCAACATATCTTGACAGAGACTATGGTCACATGCTGCTATTTTGACTCAAACATTACAAGTTTACTCTTAGGTGAGGGTACGAAATCGCTCTATTGAAATTATGGTTGCATGTTAACATGGAAATTGACCCGAGTACTTACTGCTAGCCTCGATAAATTCTTGATAATACGCTCTGGGAAACAGAGGGTCCTCCAACTCTCGGAAATAACATCGTAATACTCCGGCAACTGCATTTATATCTTTCCAATGATTTAAGCCTGCCAAAGGATCACGACCTACATAAAGAAATATACCATAAAAACGTTTTTAAAGGCTAACAGACAAAGTATAAGCCAGAATATATTTCAAGGTAACTGACTACAATATAAAAAGTAAATTACACTTACTATATGTATATTATGTACTGTATATATTTACCGTTTTCAAAAGCTTCTTTCATATCGTTAATTTCCGTACTTGACCCAGGAACTCTGAAAATGCCTTGATGATCCATACCTTGAAAATTAAAGATTGCTTTGAAAACGCGCAATTGGCTATCGGAATGGTCAACATCTCAGCATATTCAAATTATTGTACATCCACTTTATGCACTGTTGAATCCAATTTTCATGGCTAACTATCATATGTAGCATATCTTATTTACCAAATTTGGTGATAAATCGAACACAACTCTCGACGATTTCCGGAACTGGCCGACCTGTCACCTATTGAAAGGGTTTGTAGATATAAATTTCAAGTGCAATTATTGTACATTTACATAAACTGGTTCCTTAACATGTCTGTATATTTATTTTTTGCAGGCATCACCTTCTGAACCAGGTTTACAGTTACCTCCTATCACTTGCAGGTTGCAGGTACAGGGTGTTAGCCAGAAAAAAGTTTTGTCCGTTAAACGTAAATTGGGAAAGTTTTTTTGACCGACCAAAGTTCTTGTGTTGGAATAAATAGTGTTTTCTTCCAACGTGTTTCTCCTTAGATGCAAACAACGGTAGCTCAGTTTTTTACATTCCATTTCCGGTGAATGAACTCGGATGAACTTTACATGATTACACTTTGTTTTGTACATTTCATTTCAGTGAATACACACCCAATATGAATGAAACGCGATACATTTTGAGAAAATAGTTAATGGGAAAAAGTAAATGAAACGTTCTTTGATATAATAATATAAAATCAAACGCAATGCACTTTCTCATCAGAAAAAATGAAAATCGTCCAGTAGACCCAGTTGGGAAAGTCCCTTAGCTACTTCAATTGGGAAGAGTCCGTCAAACGGACAGTATATGGGCTAGCTAACACCCTGATTTATTAGACCTAATCATGCAAGAGCAGTTGCCGAAAATGCAACAGTAGGTCTTCTGGCAGGAATCAAACCGCCGGCCCTGCCATTCCAAACTATTAAGCCCTGGGCAAACTAGGAAACATTGTTGCGGAACATTGTTTCCTGCCAATGTATCGCCACGTTTCCCAGAGTGAGCAAACACTAGGAAACATTAGTGAGAAACATAGGGAAACATCAAATGTTTCTGAATTCGCTAGGAAACGTTTTTGCCTCTCGGGAAGCAAATTTTGTTTCCGCAACAATGTTTCCACGGGTGGGCAAACAGGGAAACATTTGAGGAAACATCGAAAATCACAAATGTTTCCACAACAATGTTTCCTAGTTTGCCCAGGGCTTTAGAAACTTGTTTCCATACATCATAGTTTCAAGTTTAAATTCAAGACGTTAGCAATCACATTGGAAGGCATGAAAATGTGGCCGGTGAAAATGACTGGCGAGGTAAAAAAATCAAGAGGCATTTTTGGCCGGTCATTGTCCGTTGACCGGCCGTTATTTTGAGCGCCGTAACTTCATTTTCTGGATATGTAATAATGAACATGCTATACCTTGACGTAATCTTCCAGCTTGCTCCCAAACAACTGATATTTCTTGTGCGCATTTGCAATCAACGCTTGGGTTTTGGCATTCGGTTTCATTGGAAGCTGCGGTGGTCTGGAGGAAACGTATTGAAAATTGGTTAAAATTTAATCATGTAAACTTTTTTTTTTACTTATGGTCATGTGGTTACGTGTTCTTTGTAACCACAAAAAAAATTGGGATTATTTTACAAACCTTTTTCCAGGTTCCCCACCTATAATAAAAGAAAACAAAATTAGACATATATGATAAAAACAAAATTAAACTTGGTTAACCCTTTAAAAGTGGCGATACGCCCTACTTTGTTACTTTACCCTGTCTAATGCCAGGCGATATTGCGTGATAGCGCTCTCCCCTTAACGAGTAAAATCGTTTGGCATTATACAGAGTAAAATAACAAAATAGGGCGCAATGGGGGTACAATTCCATTTAAAGTATTAATCAGACTGCCCATGTGTCATCACTGTCATGTTAACCCACAAAGTGGCATTGCGCCCTGACAGGGTCTGAAAATTTTTTTGTAATCCACTGAGATACCAGCATTCGTGAAAGAGAGTGTTGACCAGGGAGAGGTTGACCAAAAATAATTTTCTTCCTGGGAGCAAAACCTGGAGACAAAAATTTCCTGCAGACCAACGAAGTATTTTTGTGCTAAATCTGCATGTGCATAAACATACTGTGTAGTGTTCTTTCTGACTGACCGTATATAGTTTTAAATTCAGGAATGTCTGTCAACCATATGTTGTTGCGCCCATAGTGGGACATGGGTGTTAAGGTTTCCTTCAAATTTTCAATAGCAAATCTTCATTGAAACGAATTTCCTGCAGCTGTTTCACATTTCCTGCGAGCAGTGTTCGCCTATTTTTTCCACCCCTGGTGCTGACACCCAGTGGGTTACGAAACAGGGTATGATCATATCTCTTACCTAACGCTTTCATTAGAGCAGTATGTTTCGCCTGAAGTCTTGTCCGAACTGAACTTGTCATGATTAATTCTTTAAATTTCTGGAAGAGATTACGAAATTGACGCATGGTTGCACAAGTTATAGGGAAAAATGGAGTAACATAACAACCCTTAATAGAATCGTCTGCTTACCGCTAAATGATAATTTTCTAATTCTTCCCGATTTGATTTGGTCGCTGACGATTCAATGCCACCACTCCCACCCTTTTCATTACTAAATCCCGCGCTGAGTTCTTGGTCGAGTTTGTTGTATGTGTTGCGTAGAGTGTCTTTGGCCGCTTCGAGACTTTTATTGATCTAATGAAATACAACATGTTAATGATTGGATCATTCGTGCACAGCAGGGTTAACCCAGGCAGTACTTTCCCCTTGATGAGCAAAATCGTCTGATGTTAGACGGAGTAAAATAATAAAGTAGGGTGCATACCTCTTCAGTTTCAGATTTGGCCGTTTTTAATCTTTCTTCAACGTCAGAATGTTGCTTGTCCAATGTGTCGTGTTCTTGAGCTGTGATTTGACAAACCTGCGTAAAACACAGGGGTTTAAACAATGTGTACAATTGTAAGCCAAAAAGCGTTCATCCAAGGCCGGATTTTGGTGGAAATAGTGGGGGAGGTGGAAAGAAATTTAGGGGAGGTGCAGCGGTCTAGTTCACGACCACCATGGCTTACAACGGGCCAAAGTCAACAACGTGACGTATGCATGTAGTGTACATATGTACCCATTGTATTAATGAATTATGACTTGCCCTTCATTACAATTACTACAAAGTTTCTTTCGAAACATTGCATTAAAAGGGTACTTGACACACTATCACTTTTTCAATTTTACAAAAAAACCCTTTCTTACGAAGCGTAGACCCTATAAGCAACAAAAAATGTCAAATTTTCACTTTGATCTATCATTGAAACTTCCCCCAATGGGAGGTGCATACCTTTTCAGGGGAGGTGCCCCCTCCCTCCCCTCAAAATACGGCCATGAGTTCTACCTGATCAAACTAAACTAAAAGGCCATGTTACACGGTGCAATTTGTCTTGCAATTTGCAATGCAATTCTACTCTTGAGAGATGTTAATTAGTGAAATCAGGCTTTCTAAGGACAAAAGGCTTCCTCTCATGTTCATTTGAATAAACCAATTGAATGAACGCACCTCGTCGTCAGAATGGTTGATGAAAACAAATTTTCCAGTGAATTGAAATGTGTGTGGATTATCTGATGCGATTCGCAATCTCTCGCTCTCCGCATTCATGCCTTTCACATTATCTTTCAATGTTGTCAAATCTTTCTGCAACATTTTCGAAGCCTGGATCTCCATGCCCGCATAGTAATCCATCGCTCGTTGGAATGCTTGTTGATAGTTGTGATCGTAACACTGAAATGAAGATCATGAAGAAACGTGTCAGGGTGCGATAATTCGCGTACTTACGTACCGGAGGTACGCCAATAGAGATGTTTAGCAAAGACGACGCGACGTCAAAGACGACGTGAATACGGCGCAAAAATGGCGTGATATGCCCATCTATGGCAGGGCACGAAATAACGGCCGATCAACGATCGGCAGGAAATTGCTCTTGATCGGCAGAGAAGCAAGGTTGCCGATCATCTTGACTGGCAAGAACCATTGTCTCAAAAACACGGTTAATGTCGTTAACGAACACCATGTAATACTACGGCATTATCACAGAACATATAAACAGAACATATCCTGTACTGATCAGCCAGATTTTCATTTGATCAGCAGAAAATCGTGACTGCTGATCACCATGATCGGGAACATTGGGAACGTTATTTCGAGCCCTGCTATGGATGTGCCCACGCCATTCTTACGCCATTTTCACTTGCTAAACCTCTCTAATATTACGGTCTGCTACGCCTTTATTTTCAGCAACCTACCTACGCAAGGTACGTGGTACTCTTGCTATCTGCGTACTTAAATTTTTGGCACCATCTGACCTTTCCAAGCCCAAGGTATTCAATACCGTATTTAGTTGGTATGTGTTAAGTCTGACATGTCTTGGCAAGAAACATGATTGGACTGACAACACTAAGACATGTTGAGGTCGATTGTGTAGTAGTTTGAATATACTTTTCAGAAATTTGTTCTTGATGTATACATTTTGTATAAAGACTAAGTATACACATTGAGGAGTTGTTTCTAGCGCAAGTACGCGGCAACAATCATTGGTATACCAGTCAAGTACAACTAAAAATCTTGGATTATCGGATCCTTCATGCGTGTTATAATGTGACTGATTCATGTATTACGATGGGTTGTTTATATACACACTAGAAAATATCTACACACACTTCCACTAACTTCCTAAATAAGGGCCTTCGCTCAAAATGTTGACGTTTTACTTTCTTTTTGCTTTCTAGTGTTATTGTCTTTATTGTTACTATATCTATGTTGGCACCGACTGTCAGGGTGCATCGTCTCACCTCTAGAATATCATAAATATCCTGATCAAAGTACTTCTTTACAAAAGCATTTGTTGCCTCCAAGCTGAGAATGTATTCATTGCGGGCTCGCATCGCTTTCAATTTGGTCTCTGTGTAACGTTTGTGACACTATATGATGAAAAAGAAATATGATAACTATATTTAATTTTTATTTATAATATAGCATTTGTAAATTCTGAACGCTGATTGGCTAAGAGCCGTGTTGATATAACTCAGAGTCAACACGGAAACGTGGGAAAATTTCTTTCTTTATATATTTCTTTGTGCTATATTATAAAACAAATATAAAACATTTTTTCCGTATTGATATACAGTTATATCAACACTCGTAGAAATTGGAAAAACTTGAAATTGTGTGAAAACACTCCGCCCTTCGGGCGTCGTGTTTCCACACAATTTCTCGTTTCCCCAATTTTCACTCGTGTTGATATAACTGTATATCAACACGGAAAATGTTTTATATTTGTTAATTCCAAACAGTTCTCGGGAGAGGTCCAGTAACGGCCATCCTTTAAGACCTGTTTACACTTGCTGCAATTGACCACTTGCGTAATAGACTAAATTTTGATCAAAATAAGTCCAGACAAAAATTTCACCACAGCTTGAAAGAGCATCACAAAATTAGTAATATTCCAAAGTTTCGTTGCGAAATGTTGTAAAATGCGGATAATATAGCCCTGCGAAGTTTGCAATTTTCAGTCATTTTAGATTACAAACGGGAAATTTACAGCCCCAAAGGGTATTGTAATCTAAAATGACTGAAAATTGCAAACTTCGCAAGGCTATATTATCCGCATTTTACAACATTTCGCAACGAAACTTTGGAATATTACTAATTTTGTGATGCTCTTTCAAGCTGTGTTATAAAATAACATGTATATAACGCGTGCTCTGATTGGTCGAAACCCGTGTTTGGATCAGGCCATCCAAACACGGAAGACTATCGTGTTGTTGTTATTTTATAAAACAATTACTTTATGGTTTCCCTGTTAGGATGGCCTGATCCAAACACTTGGGAATGTTGCTCGAGTTAAGAAAAGCGCGCAAAATCACTCGCCTTCGGCTCGTGTTTCGCGCGCTTTTCTTAACTCTCGCAACATTCCCGCGTGTTTGGATCAGGCCATCCAAACACGGAAACCATAAAGTAATTGTATAATGAAATTTTTGTCTAGATCAAAATTTAGTCTATTACGCAAGTGGTCAATTTCTAGTGCAATTTTCTCTTCTGATGGAATCATGTGAATGAGTAGATGGGTTACGAATGTTCTGAGTATGTGCGCTACCATCTGAACATTCGTAACTCATCCACTCGTTCACATCCATCAGAAGGTTAAATTCTCACCTAATATTGCAGCAAAAATTGCATTGAGTTGAAATGGACTTTTATGTATTCATTACTGCAGACAAAAACAGAGTACTTGGGGGAACCTGTAGTGTTAGGACTCAGGGCCTTAGCCAGCCTACCGTCCAGCCGTCTTTTGGACGGCCATTTTCAAATTTGGACGGCCTTATAAAAAAGACGGCTTTTGGACGGTTCGTTATCACGGTGACGCCTTTTGGACGGCTTGGTAAATCTGTAGAGTACCTTACAATAAAATATTATGTTAATTTATGTATTTGCGTTTTAGTAATATGTAATTTTGTAATCCGAGTGTAAACATGCGCCGCTAGTGACACCTACCCTATACGCAAGTATACCTACGCAAGTATACCTAGTTTTCAACTATATGGCAACTTGCTTGTGTGTAATGGTTGGAAATGCAGAAGCAGAAAGGGTGTTTAGCATGCAGAATCGCATGTACTACTCTAGTCAGTGTAGTGAGTAGTGACATAGTCTGAATAATTGAATATATTATTAGTTTTTTGAGCGATTCTCAAGTGCAGTCACCGATTACTCCCAGCATTCGGAAATACTCACATTGAATTACTGGTGCATAAAGTGGTGCCATGGTTCCATATGGCAAAAATTGGGTGTCATAAACGAAATTTCAAATTTGGACACCCAAGTTGCAAATCCTGGCTAAGACCCTGTACTGACAGTTAGGTATATTCAAACAAAAAATTATTCTGTGCTAAAACTGATGCAAATTTATAATCAAATAATTGCATATTGTTATGAATGGATGATTTCAAATATAAACGAACTTTTGATCTAGACAAGATCGAGGAGCGAAATTCATTACCATAGCTAGAAAGAGGATCTTAAAATGAGTAAAATTGCAAAGTTTGGTTACGAATTGTTGTAAAATGAGGAAAATATAGCCCTGTGAAGTTTGCAAATTTTGTATATATTTGCATTACGCGCGGGAAAAATAACCATTTTTGAACATTTTTGGTTATTTTACCGCATGTAATACAAATATATACAAAATTTGCAAACTTCACAGGGCTATATTTTCTTCATTTTACAACATTTCGCAACCAATCTCTGCAGTTTTACTAATTCTAAGATGCTCCTTCTAGCTGTTGTATTGGATTTCGTTCTTCTTACCTTGATCAAAATTTAGTCTATAGCTCGAATTACCCATTTAAAACCAGCCCACTAACCTTTTCTCTTAGTTTATCAGCATTTTTCGCTCTCTTTACACTTGCTCGTTTTCGTGGAGCTTGTAACTTCTGTTGAGCGCTTTCCGCTGATTTTAACTTGCTTTCAGCTAATTTGCTGTCTGTCTGCATCATGTGGTAGCGACGAACTCTCTTTAAGGAGAAACATGGCACAATGTTACTGCACAATATTTTTGCAAGGCAAGGGTGTGGCAGGCACAAACCCAGGGTTCCAATTGAGGTTACAGGACACCTTTTGTGAAGAATCGCTACTGCATGCTTAATATTTTTCTCAAATTTTCATCAAAAGTTCATTGGTGCATGCAGAATATCAATCTTTCCAGGGAGGGATTGCTGATATTGTGGAGGTGGGGGTTATTAGGGTGCCCCCACCCCCTTGAATCAACCATTGTTACAATACCTCATTTAGGTCATTCAGTTGTTTCATAAATTCTTCCTGTAAGGTCACTGACGTCTCTCTACACTAAAGACATAAAATGTTATATTAAAATATGTGCATTATGTAAACTGCATTTTAGTTAATAGGTACAAGATACTATCAACTGTGGCATACCTTTTTATTTACCCTTTGGACGTCTTCAATTATTGTTGCAAATCGATTGGCCATGTTCTCAGAGACTCTGCTAGCCATAAATGATCTGATTTTTGCTCTGGATTTTAAATCCTGAAGAATTCTTGAAAAAATGTCGACAGTATTCATTTTATCTTTCCTAGAATCAAGATGCAAGAATGTCAGTTTACTTACTAGTAAATAAATTCAAATCACTACCATCATCGACACCATCATCCTTTGAACAAGTAGTATAGACCCATTGCACTGACATCACAAATCCTTAGAGTGTCCTCCAGATGCTCCCTAACAATATCTTTTCGGGTACAACCACCACATACAGTGCAAAAATTAACCATTTTAATACAAAATTATTATAAAGTTTTACAAAATTTGCTTTGTTTACAGAAGTTATATTATGCATAGATTTGTCCTCCAGATGCATCGTCACCGGCGCTGTGACGTCATGTGCAATGGGTTTATACTATACACTATGTGAAATTATACACATTTCCATAACCACTTGTAATCATCATTACCACTCTTATTATAACCAACTTCATAATCATTACCATCACCATAATGCCATGATCACCATCATCAACACAATCACCACCAATGCCATTACCACCATCATCACCACAAACCACTACCATCACCATCATCACTACCAACACCATGATGTCCACCATCATGACCATGACTATTATCATCACCATCATCTTTATCACCACCACTACCACCATCATCATCATCATCTTTACTACCATCACCACCATCATCACTATTCAATACAATCACCACCATCATCATCACCACCATCATCATCACCACCATCATCATCACCACCATCATCATCACCACCATCATCATCACCACCATCATCATCACCACCACCATCATCATCACCACCATCATCATCACCATCATCATCACCACCATCATCATCACCACCATCATCATCACCATCATCATCATCACCACCATCATCATCACCACCATCATCATCATCTTTACTACCATCACCACCATCATCACTATTCAATACAATCACCACCACCTCCATCATCACTACCATCACCATCATCACTACCACCATTATCATCACTACCATCATCATCATCTTTCAGGGTCTTAGCTAGAGGGCCATGTTGGCTGTGTTATCGCGGCCAAAAATGGGAAAACACGGCTAGATAAAAAGAACGCGGCTTCATTATTTATATAAGGCCGTGTACAGTGTAGGTTCATAAAATAAGGTGTTACTGCTTACAACAAAGACAATTTCTTCCTATTTTAACGTCGTAAGAATGTTTGTAAAATCTACTGTACAGTAGTTGTTGAAATTGGCAGAACTGATTCGTGATGTTTTAATGTTTTGAAGGCGACAGTGTTACTGTAAAATGGTTTTAAATACCCCCAAGAGTTGCTGAAATAACTTAATATTTTAATGTCAGTGCACAATATGAGCGTATGCTCGCCTTGTATTTGGTTCCGAAGCACAGAAGAACCACAGGCATTGTCTGTTGTTGGCGAGCCATAACTAGAACCGTGAATTTGGCTATTCAAGGTAATTGACATGTGCACACCTTGGTCTAGGAATGTTCGGTATGAGAAATTTCCGGTATCGGTATACCGTATCCCGGTTTTCTTTGATAATTATAAAGGAAAATTCTTTAATGGAAATTTGAAGGAAATTTTGAGTAATTCTAAAAGGGAAAACTATAATTTCGAAGCTGTTTCGAACATGTTTCGAACGACACGCATTCAGTGTAAAAGGTCCTCCATCATCACTACCATCACCATCAATCACTACTGCCATCTTCACCCATCACCATCACACTACCACCATCATCATCGTTACTACCATCATATACCATCATCACTATTCAATACAATCACCACCACCACTATCATCATCACTACCACTATCATCATTACCACCACCATCATCGTCATCACCATCCTGCTGTACCTTTGTAATTTCTGACGTAATTTATCCTGGAATCTTTCTGCAACTTTGTCAAGATTTCTCGCATACTCTAGCTCAACTTCGCCCAATCTTTTATAAAACTCCTGATAGTCAGCAAGCACTGACAGTTTACTTTCTGTTCTTGCATCGTAAGATTTTAACTGCTCGCCAAGTTGTTTGTGCACCTCTGAAGAATTGATAACAGGAGATTCACAAAAATGGTGGCTTAAATTTTTTGAAAAATGGTCGCTACTGTCACAGAATAAGAAGGTACAGCAGAAGTGTAACTTGAGTCGGTTCCTTTATTGTTTTACTTCCACAAAAATTTTAAAACTCCCTCACGCCATCCTGGCTAGTACAACCGAAAGTTTTTATCAGGTTTTGGTAGATGCCAAGTGCTGGTTGTACTAGCCAGGATGGCATGATTGATGACGAATCGCTTGTAAAAACGCGGACAAATACTTGCTTGAGTTACATTTCTGCTGTACCTTCTTATTCTGTGCTACTGTTGTCCCTGGTTGGGCGCATGAAAAGTACAGCGTCTAAACACATGTCGCATAACACGATGACATAACTTGCCGTATTTTGTGCCTTGTTGAACCTAATCAAAACTTACTGAACTTAATTTATTTAGACGGTGCTCTTCTGTCGTACTTAATTGTTGCATCACGTTCAGCACACAGAAAGTTTGCTGTCTAAACTGGGCCTAAGTACAAGACATTTGTCTGATAGAACAAGATAAAGAAAGTGAGATGTTGATGGCGTTGTTGCCTGATAAGGTACAAATGTACAATGTTTATAAGGACAGGACGAACAAACAAATTGATTGTTTCTTGCCAATATTTCATCCCAACAGAAGTTCCACCTGTTTGCTATTCTTATACAAACTCTGCCTTGGCCATTTCTTTGTCCAGACAGATTATCCGTCTCTTCAAATCAGGACAATTGCAAAAATCAATATGTCTGATGAATCAAATACTGTGTAATAATTTATAAGACTACACCAAAAATATACCCCCCACACATTTTTAATAATCTCCACATAAAGTTTACATATGAGCATTTTGCAAAAGCACTAACACGTTCAGCAGAAATTCAGACATATAATTGATACTTTACTTGGAAGGTTAATCATAGGTATCATAATGCAATTCTATACGGCGACAAAAATATTAATTGTTTCAGCATTTCCGTGAGCGAATAATAATCTTTGACGAAAATAATCTGTTACACCCCGCAAATAACGGCACGAGCTCTCGAGGTGGGAGTCTTAGCAATAATAAAATATTTTATATTTGTATGAAAAATTTGAAGAGAACTACATACAAAACAACGAAAGCGGTAATATTATCCAGGAAAATCAACTTCAAAAACGAAATTGATATGTACAAAACACATGTTTATAAACAACATTTCCGCAGTTATATTGAGTGTGTAAAAAGCCCAGCCGAAGATGCGGTTTTGTTTCGAGAAACTTCAAGTGCTTATTGAATACTTCCCTATAATTCGCTTCAGCATCGTGTTCAAAGCTTCAACAGTTACGCAAGGGATAATAAAATTGCTGTAATTTAAATATTTAATAATCAACTAGCTTCTCGATTCTTATCAATAGACTCTCATTTCGTCTGGACGGGCAATGTTATTATTCAAAGAACGCAATGTTTCAGAATGTAACGAAGAAAAAAAACAATTGCATTGTGGCTGTTTGTATAGCTTGTCAGCAACGAATAAGTAGCGACTTTGACAATGGCCATATTTCAAGGCCGAATGGATACAGTCAATCTAATATCGAAGTCCAAATACAGTATTTTCTCGCTATACAAACATCCCCATTGTAGTGGCCTCAGCAGTAAGCGGCTGTACTTTTTCAAAGGAATTTATTGGCCTATATATCTGAAAGTTTCTACCGAAATTATTTAGTTGTCAATAAAAGGTTCTAGCACCCGGAAATGCATTTTAAAATATATGTACGCCTATTGTCTTTCTAGAATAGATAACAGTACGTTCTGCCTATGGAAAAATAGGAATATCCCCATGGGAAATTTGCTAACAATTACTCAATTCTTACCTCGGTATTGACTCTCAAAGTCTTGCAAAGCTTTGTCCTTTTTGGTAGCCATTTTACTAGCCTCGGAAGTAATAGAATTTAAGGCTTCATTTTCACAGCGTATAAACGTAGTAATGTATAAAGTCTGTAGAAGAGTGAGAATTAGCGAAATTCAGGTGAAACTGTGCGACTTTTCAAGAAAAGATTACATGAACAACGTAAACTTCTTCGACTAAAATGAGTCCATGTTGTCGGCCGGAAGAAAATCGCAACATTTCATTACTCTCATTACGCATGCGTAATGAGCAGCATTGAATACCGGAACTTTGTACACTGCATTTTTTGGCCGGCCGGCTAAACGGCCCATCTTTACACAAATTAAAACGAAAGCCAAACCTCTGGCCAAATTAACAAAGTTAGTAGGTTTAGGACGTCTACTGTACATAGAACAACAGCTTAAGCTGTTTCGAAAAAGGGTATTGTAAAAACTTATATTCCATTTTCTCGATATCATTCTGCGTCAAATGACTTTTGCCTAGGGTCTTTTCTCCGCTACTTCCTCTACCGGAAGAAATTAAACTGACCCCAAAATTGCTTCAAAATATGTGGGGGGTTGAAGCACTGCGTGACTGCGTTCCTTTGAATAATTGCCGTTTAATATTTAATCATGATTGATTTTTTCCATTGATTTATTAACTATACAGTAATTCTTTCAATCTAGCTAAATTATTTCTCTATTACAGTATTTATATGTAAGTCGTGATGAATACGGCTCAGAATATGTATGTTTCATTGAATCGTGTTTAACATATCCGCGACTTTTCACCAAAACAACGCCAGGCTATGAACACACATGGTTTTAAAACCGCAATCGGAACTTTTAGCGCATTTGCGCGCATCCAAAAAGCTACGTGTTTGTCTATAAATAGCGCAATTGCGCATAAGCTTCGAAATCGATCTATTGTTTTCGAAATAAAGCCGGATGAAGTCAATTAGCAAGCTTTATACAACATGAACATGAACGTAAACAATGACACGGCGTGTCTAGATGGTATTGTACTTATCACTAAAATCTTTCAATCTTTATTTTGACTAAGAAGAATTTTCGAGATTGAAACTCGTGTCGGATTCCGAGGTTCTACTCAAGGAGCTATCGATTCAACGATACGAGTTCGAATTCACAGTAGTATATCTAAAGATGGTTCTGGACAGTACGACACCAGTGAAAAAGATTACGAAACGGATTACTTACTATTATTATAGCAAGATAGAACTGCAATGGGCGCAGTATTCAAAGCAAGCGCCTTTCATATCTGAGTTCGTGGGCTCGATTCTCGCTACGGACTCATGTGAAAAAAGTCAGTCAACGTTCTGTCGAAAGTCGTGGATTTTCTGCGGGTGCTCCGGATTCCTCCCACAGGGAAAGTTGACAGGATGGGTTAGGATAAACACACTTGAGAAAGTAATATCACAATTGTTGTGAAGATAAAATAATCTAGGCTAATTATGTCATCAGCTAAGCATATAACACTTGATGTGAAGCGCATTTGATCACATCCGCATGTTAATTGCGCTTATATTTAATGCTAATCGTAATTATCATAATTTATGTTAGGTATGCTATAAAGTCGAACTCTGAGAGTGAATAAAATATACAGAACTCTGAGAGTGAAGAATATAAACAGAAGTCTAAACATGAAGATTTCAACATAAATTACGTAACTAGAGGCTGCCGCCAACCTGCAGTTCGGAAAAGGATTCTAATTCTTTTCGTTATATTTTGTAGTCTTTGGTATAGAATTAAAAAGTTTTTAAAATTTGCTTTCTCTAATAAATATGAACACTCAGGCCCAGCCTGGGCCCAATATACTCGATAGCATACGAGGAAGTTTAGCGAAAATATCGCCTATTAAAAGACCATTGATTTGGGTAAATAAAATAATAAAAAAATACTTAGGCGTAGAAGTGCAAAGATAAAGTATAATTCGATTCTAAACAATTATACTGAACTGATTTTTAAACATTTTGGGGGAAATTTTTAGTCACGATGTAAAATGTTGCGTGCGTGACTTTGCGTGCGTGATGACCAACACCCAGTGCCCAGCAGGTGCGCGCACGTAGTGTCGTGCTGGACATTATCTCCTCAATGAGTAGGCGCGGTTCAACACATTTTAAGTACAAACCCAAACAAAAGCTAAACATGAATTGCACGATCGCACAGTAAAACCGCTAAAGTCTGTCACCGGTTAACTCAGCTTTATACGTTTGTCGCAAAAATGTAAACTGCTACGCCATAGTGTGGCTTTTAGTTGACATTGTTGTTGTTAAGCATTATATGCGCCTGCGATCTTGTTCGCGCCCAGGCGACATATACTGCATGTTATATTCATGACGAAGGGCCTTCGCTTGAAACGTCGAGTTTCTGCTTATTTTTTAAGGTAGTGATATAACCATTCAGCACAGCATTTCTACATTGGTACTAACTACACTGGTACAGACAGTTTTAGTATATATTCATGTAGCCTGTCTTGGCCTCGTTGTTGTTTTCATCGTATCTATATTATATTAAAGGCTACCTTTAAACTTGTTGTTATCACTTTACTGTCGAGTCTCCTCTTAAATATTGGCGCTAAGCTAATATTTTACTTCACTCTAAACGGTGGCAAATATCACGTATTCACGTACCATGTAAGAAAGACACCTACTTTTATGTAATACCGGGTGTCCCAAAAAACAAGCTGGACACTGTTTCAGAAAGGACTGACTTAGATTTTGATATATAACACTTGAATTTACATACAATATTGAGCGAGATACAACCAAAATAAAAATATTTATTATTTAAGTGCTATATATCAAAATCTAAGTTAGTCCTTTCTTAATGCAATGATCTTTACTTCATTGCGATAGCTTTTATACCTTTTACGTTGCATGAAATCAAACAGTAGATAAAGCATGAGCGGCGGTGTTGTATCAGATCATACAAACTGCAGCCGAAGGCAAGATCGATGTTGTATGTCTGAGCGTGGTCTGAGACAACACGAACGCGAATGCTTTATATAGTTTGTGAAACGTCTCATGAGAACATTCGTAATCTTCAACAACTTAAAATAAATTAACGATATTTGGTGGGAGAATGGACCTTTCCCCTTTTAAGTGAAATTTTGAACTCAACAAGTCTGGACAAAAATTTCATCACAGCTTGAAAGAGCATTACAAAATTAGTAATATTCCGAAGTTTTGTTGCGAAATGTTGTAAAATGCAGATAATATAGCCTTGCGAAGTTTTTTGTATTACGCACGGGAAATTGATAATCAGATGATCAAACTGATTATCAATTTCCCGTTTGTAATGCAAAATGACTGAAAAACGGCAAACTTCGCAAGGCTATATTATC